ACCAACTCTATGGGATAGATGCAGTTGTTATTCCAGTTTCACAGATGAAGAAACTGAAGCACAGAAAATTTAAATAACACTCAGAAGGCCATTTTTCCTAGTAAGTAGCAGAGCCACAAATTGAACCCAAGCAGTCAGCCTCTAGGGTCTGGGCTTTGAACAACAATGTTATACTGCCTCTATTTACCAGTTTATTCAACTTTTAAACTTTTAGCACCTTGTTTTTCTCATAAAATCAAGCTCTGCTTGACAGCAGTTCTTGTCCAATTCAGTGAGGATGACTTTCAGAACGGCTTATAGATCTAGTCTCCCATACTGCTCAGGAGACAATGTAAATTTGTCCCTGTCAGGATCTTTCATCCATTTGGAACCTATTGCATCTGGACACAGGTACTCTGATAAATAACTGATTCCTTTTCTGCCTTTCATCTCCCTTCTTCCCCTCTTCTATCATCTTCTTACCTTTTTCCCCCAAGACCCCCAGATCCTATAGAGTCCCTTCTTAACTGCATTTCCTTTCTGTACTGTGCCTCTAAGGAATAATGATAATAATTCCTGTTTATTAGGTTTTATTTCACCCTTTCTGCTGTTTCCTGGAAGGCCTACTTAGAGAGTACATACACACAGGCTTTATAGTCAGACCTAGGTTCAAATCTAAGATTCATTGCTGTTTCCTTTTGAAGGATTCATAACCTTAATGAATGTCATTAGCTCATCTCCAAACCAAAGATAATACCTACCTCTTCAGTTGTTTTAAGGGTTAAATGAGAAAATACATGCTTAACATACAGTAGGAACTATCAAGTTTGCTTAATTCTGTCTTCCCCTCTCTCAAAGAATTGTAGTTATGTAAACATTGGCTGTCCACCAGTCTTTTGGGATAGCCTCGTATCCCTTAAACTTCTATTCCCTTCAGTCCTTTCATTTTAGCACGTTCTGGGATTATGATAATCATTTTAGGTAAAGATTATGGGAAATTAGGGGTATATTCAGAGGTTTTTTAAAATAGAAGATCACAGATAAAGAAGAATTAGGAAGGTATAGGAGAACTCAAGGAGCTTTCACCTTTCTCTGTCCCATGAATATGGGGAGAGGAGAAAGAGAAAGCAAGCACAGAAGAACGCAGTTAGAACAGGTAGCACAATGAATCATCCTACTTTTTGAAACTAGAGGGTTTTGCTGTTTTAAAAAAAGAAAGTAGTGTATTAATAAGCTATTGTATCTGAGATGTTTCTGGCATATGTTATTTATCTACTTTTTAAAAATGTAATTTTAGGACTACAGACTTTCTATTATGTCACATACCCTTTCTCCTGAGTTGTCCTTTGTAAGTGATAAAGATATAGATACATAGTCACATATAATACATATTTGTGTGTGTGTATACACACACATGTATAATTTGCTCTAGAAAACCTCCCTTGCTATCCTATTTATGGGGCACAGATCTCTTAAAGGTGAATCTGTTCCCTCTCGCCTTTCATAAATGGATGTACCATGAGAATACTGTAGTTTAGGATCTTTTAACTAATACCAGCAGTAGACAGACTCTTCTCAAACAAAATAACATCCTATTTAATTCTTAGTGCTACTCTGAGTGTTAATGTTTGATGATTTACTTTGATATTAAAATGTCTTTTATTTTGGATATTGAGTTCTCTGTTTCTTTTACCATTTATTTAGTATGGCTTCCCTGGTAGCTCAGAGGGTAAAGCGTCTGCCTGCAATGCAGGAGACCTGGATTTGATCCCTGGGTTGGGAAGATCCTCTGGAGAAGGAAATGGCAACCCATTCTACTACTCTCGCCTGGAAAATGCCACGGACGGAGAAGCCTGCTGGGCTACAGTCCATGGGATCACAAAGAGTCACATATGACTGAGCAAATTCACTTCTTTGTATTTCATTCTTAGTGCCATTCTGAATTTTAATGTTTGATGATTTACTTTGATGTTGAAGAATCTTTTATTTTGGATATTGATTCCTCTGTTTCTTTTATTAAGTTGTGTGACTTAGAATCCCACTTATCAGTCAATCTATTACATAGAGAAAAATACCTTCAAATAATATTTTGTAAAAACTAAGTAGGACTCGCACCTCCCCACAGCTGAACAGCATACAGAAAGAAACTGGAAGAGCAAGGAAAAAGATTGTGCCTTCAGAATATTGAGTTTACTGTTGGAACTTCCTTAAAAAGATTTTTAAATACCTCAACCCCAGATGAAAAGCTAAATACTGTAAAGTATATATACTCTGACCAAAACCCTAAGAGATACTTTTCCTCTCTAGAGAAGAAAGTTGGATTTTTTCATTTTTAATCTGCATATCATGCAAACCCGAGTCTTTTCTGTTTAGATTGCTCTCATCCCAAGCAGAATAATGAAGTTGGGAATACCCAGGTAGTCTCTACTTTTCTCTTTCTTGGAGTTATTTCACAATTTTTGAATTATATTTTCCTGCAAATGTAGGTTCTGCATATATTATATTCCAAGTGGTTGAGTATAGTGGATTCATAGATTTTTAGTCAAGATGAAAGTGTTTACTAGTATGTATTCATCTGACAAGCATATGCTAGATTTTACTGTTTTCGTTTTATGCCAAGAAGTTATTTTTACATTGATATTGAGAGTCCCTGGAAATAGGCTCTAGCCAAACAATTTAAAAAGATGCAAAAGTCTTGATTTTTAAAAATTGTTTTAAAAATGTGCTTTATCCTATCATATGTCAGTGTATGTCAGTCTTTTATACCTGTTAATAATATCTCTTGAAAGACCATTTCACCTTATGATACAAAACTATTTGAGAGATATTGTAACATAACTTTGATGTATATAACTGCACCTCTGGTGAAGATTTTTGAGTCAGAGAGACCTGTGTTTAAAGCCCTGTTCAGCTGCTTAACATGGCTGTGTAGGAAGTATTTTTCTCTGTTAGGTTCCCCATCTGACACATAAAGATGACAAAATTGATTTGACAGACTGTTTTGAAGATTCACATTGTTCTTTCTTAGCATATGATATATTTTTGTCTAACATCTAATAAGCTCCAGGAAAACAAGATGGTAGAGAGAGGCTCACTGTATTTCTTAAATTTACCTGTAAAAGACCCTTGGAAATTTTACTTAAAACACTTCTCTGTCACATCTGAAGATCTTGTAAAACCAGTGATGTCTTTGTGCTTATTTTTTCAGTTTTAGCCTCTGATTTTTTTAAACATAACATTGTGTTTTTTTCCCAGCTTTATTGAAATCTAATCGATGTAACAATTGTAAGTTTAAGGTGATAACTTGATATATATATATATATATATATATATATATTGTAAAATATATTAAGTTTAGATATAAGGTTAGTTAACTAGACCACTGTAAGGTAAGTTAAGGTTAGTTACCACATCTATCACCTCACACAATACTTTTTTTCTGGTTGTGAGAACTTTTAAGATATATTCTCTTGGTAGCTTTCAAGTATACAATACAGTATTGTTAACTATAACAGCTTCTCTGGCGGCTCAGACAGTAAAGAATCTGCTGCAGTGCGAGACCCAGGTAAATCCTTGGGTTGGGAAGATCGCCTGGAGAAGGGCATTGCAACCCAGTCTAGTATTCATGCCTGGAGAATTGTTAAGTATAGTCACCTTGCTTCTTAAATATTAAAAATAGAATCAGTCAGCAGATATTTTTTGAGAAAATTACATATACTAAGCCTGAAAGAATAACAAAGTTTATGTCCTCTCAGAATTGCTAACCACCTTACAAAGATATATCTAATATCTGAAAAATTCAATAAGAATATAAATTAGTATTATTAAAAAATACAAAGTATTTTAGTAATTTTGTACTATAGTAGACACAAGAATAAAGGTGCTGAAATTATCTTCCTTGTTAAAATATATTTAAAATTTTCTCAATACATTAATTAAATGTATGTACATACTTGATTTTTTTTTAATTCCAAGTATCTCCCAGGATTTTCTTATAGCCAAAAATTTTTTTAAAGAATATTATTTTTTGGATAAAACTTTTTAGCGAAACAACTTTTCTAGCTCAAGTTTTGTCACTGACTTTGAGATCATATAAAGATCCTTAAAATATGGTATATGAAAGCATGTAGAAGGATTAAATGAAATATTCAGGTTCCATTTTATTTTTCAAATCTATGATACATGATTCACTTTTCCTTTTTTCAGTTTCAAGGTGTATAAAACGAGAATCTTACCTCGAAGTTCTAAGACAATCCTTAGACTATGCTTATTAGTCTATATTATACCCTTTAGCAATTTATAGTCATATATTTTTTTAATGTTGCAAATACTGTTCTACTTTTTATCATTTATGTTATTTTTCCAGTTTCTGATTCATAGACATTAAATAAACTTTTTTGTTTACTCTATTTATTGTACATTATCACTGAAATGTGTTAATTACATATTTTGATAAAACAGGAGGGATAGGGAGGCCAGTGACCAAATATATATTTTAGTGGGCTGCTGAGAACAATTCATTCTTCAGTTTGTGATTAACTTTTTTCAAAAGTATACCTTGTAAAATACATGCAATTTCTTGGAACTTAGTGATATTTCACAGTTGGTGTGCTCCAGACTTTGGAATTCAAATCAGTCCAGTTCAGTTGCTCAGTCGTGTCCAACTCCTTGCAACCCCTCCTTGTAGCACGCAGGCGTTCCTGTCCATCACCAACTCCCGGAGCTTGCTCAACTAACTTTTGGCTGTGCTAGGTCTTCCAGGCTGGGCAGGCTTTTCTCTAGTTGTGGCAAGCAGGGAAATTGAAATAGGAAGCTCGAATTTTTCATATTTTTCTAAATTAGAAAAATGTCATATCTTCTAAATTAGGACTTGTATATGGATTTTTATTGATTCCGTAGTTTAAAAGTTCTAATTCATTAATTTGAGTGTGTTATACAAAAAATTAATTTCTTTGTGGTCATTGCATGCAAGGCATAGCATAATATAAAATCTCACCATATCCATGATGTCTTATTTCCAGGCAATGAAAACTACAAACAAATAGCAATGTGTGTTCTTTACCATATAAGCATGGATGATCGCTTTAAATCAATGTTTGCATATACTGACTGCATACCACAGGTGAGTGGTTTAAGTGTTTTCTTAAAAAGGCATTAAAAAATGTGTTTTTTGCTTTCTTCTCTTGATTTGTCAAATAGCTTTTTTCTTTTAAAAATTCCCTCCTAAAATAATATAAATTTGTTATATACAGTCTGAAAGTACAGACAGTATAAAAATGAAAATAACTTTCTAGCTTATCCCATAAAAGCTGATGTAAGTAAACATATGTAAGCAAATGAAATAATGTAGAATAAAAATCATACATAGTATATAGAAGCTTAATCATATCTTGATTTTTTATTTAGTTTTAATTCCTAAAAGTAGAATTACTAGGTCAAAAGGTATTTTGTATATTTAACACAATATGGCCAAGTTACCTTCCAAGAAGACATGAGTTGATTTCTCCCAACTATCATTTCACTTTTATAACAACACTAGATACTATCATTTCTCTAAAAATGGAATGTCTGGGTTTTTTTTTATTTGCATTTCTGTGAATATTGGTGAGGTTGAACATTTTTCACATTTTTATTGTTGACATGTTATAAATCTTTTATTTCTATTGATAATTTTTCCATTGGCATGTCAATATTTTGGGACTAATACATAAGATCTATATATATAATAACTATTTTAACTCCTTGTCATATTACAGACATTTCCCAACTTCGTCATTTGCCCTTTAATTTAGTTTGTGATTGACTATTTTGAATGCTTTGCATGCTCTGATGAAAAAATTCTTCATTAAAATACTTTTGCTTTCTTTTATAGCACTGTTCTCAAGAAAGATTTTTGGTATAACTCAATTGTTTGGTATATTTCATATGTTAGGTTTATTTGTCTTCAAAAAGTTTAGTGATTTTTCTTTCATGGACTCTAAGGGTTGAGATCATTGTTGTTGTTCAGTCACTAAGTCATCTCTGACTCTTTTTGCAACCCCGTGGACTGTAGTCTGCTAGGCTCACCTGTCCATGAGATTTCTAGGCAAGAATACTCAAGTGGGTTGCCATTTTCTTCTCCAGGAGATCCTCTCGACTCAGGGTCAAATAAATGTCTCCTACATTGACAGGCGGATTGTTTACCACTGAACCACATACATATATGGTTTTACTCTTAGAGAATTTACATTCAAAGTCACTATTGTGCCATTAATTTTTATTAAACTGAGCTCTACTAATTTGATTACTATCTGATGATCAGAATACTAGTTGGCTGATTTTTAATATTATTTTTTATAATATGGCTTTCTAAATTAGAGAAAGCAGGGATTCCCCGATTGGTCAGTGGTAAAGAATCTGCCTGCCAATGAAACAGACATGGGTTTGATCCCTGATCCAGGAAGATCCCACATGCCTTGGAGCAACTAAGCCCTCGTGCCACAACTTTTGAGCCTGTCCCTAGAGTCTGGGAAGCACAGCTCCTGAGCGAGCCCGTGTTCTGCAGCTTCTGAGGCTCATGCACTCCAGGGCCTGTGCTCCACAGGACATGCTGCCCCGAGGGGAAGCCGCTCACAGCTAGAGAGGAGCCCCCGAGCCCACAGCCAGAGAGAACACAGTGCATCAGTGAAGACCCAGCCCAGCCAGCATAAATAATAAATAAAAGGAAACTTGCAGGATGTATAATATGCAATAAAAATACAACACTTCTAAAAGATACTTTAGAAGAATATGAGTAGTAAATTGTGCTTGTTAAAGTAATCTTCTTAAGCCTCCTACTAGGTAGTTCCTTATTAGCCTAATGTAAGTTATTAAATGTGTATTATATTGGCAAATGATTAATATGTAGTAAAAAATAAGACCATAATTTTTCTTTTTATTAATTCTTCTTAATCCTTCTATTCATCCCAATTAATAAAACAGTTCTAAAAATTGAATTTGTGATTCCAAAATTTTTATACTTTATCCATATATAATTAAAAAGCTGATAAACTCTCAAGGATAATTTCTTAGGCTTTTAAATCAGGGGATAAACTAATTATGCTTGTTTACAGAAACTAGGCATCCTTCAAATATACTGCATATTTTATCTAACATGGCAAGGCTTCTTACAGAGATAACACATGTCAGTCTATAGCTGATGCAAAGTGTAATCAAACTCTTTGTCAAACAAGTTTTCAATAAAAGAGTAGCCATGTCGAAGGGAGATTACAAATGATTTACTACAGTCTCACTCCATATGTTCCAAAGGTTTTCCTTCACAATTTCAAAGGGTATCCTTTTCCAAGCCCATTTAGTGTCAGAACTTCATTGACTGCAACATACAAATTGGAAAGCAGTGACAAAAAAATAATATTTTTGTCTAAATTGATTGTTTTTATCCAGGTTAGATTTTAAAGAGAATGACATTAAATAAAAGAGAAGTGTAAACTAAAAAGAGATGGAAAACTTATTTTGTTAAATTTTTTATTCATTAAATATTTATTTAACCCTTCTCTCTATACCATAGCATTTATAATCTCAAATATAACATATAAAACTATTTTCAATAAATCAGAAATAAAAGTGTTTAGATTTCTTTTGAGACATTAATATTATTGTAGTTGAAGACTTGGTAGAAAATTCTCCCATAGCTTTTCAACAGCCATATTCATGCATATTTCCTTGCCAGATAATTTTCTAACATCAAGCATTTCTGCAGAGGGATTTTCAGAACATTTATGGTCTGTATTTCATGAACAGAATCTTCCAAAATTCATTCAGTGGTAATTGTTTGGGGGTTTTAATTTATTATAGTCTGTTTTTAAAAAGCTCAACCCTGATAACAATAGTGAAAGTATGTATTCAAGTTATTATGTTGTAGACATCCTGAAACTTTTTAGTATGAAGCCATAGTTTGAGAAAGTAAATGATACTCTAGAGTATGTTTGTTCCTAAAGTGCTATCCAGGCTATAACTTGTACTTTATAAGGCTCAACTTTGACATATTGGGGAAAAATTGACACGGTTTAATTGCCACCCAGTGCCAATTATGAAAGTACATTGTAAAATAAGAGAAAGAAAATTTGGTATTATGTTGAAATTTCCAAGCTTCCTTCAGAAATTAAAAAGATACTCCTTTCAGAAATATTGACTTTTCAAAGTAAGGTTTATAATACTAGCAGAGCTTTAAACTCATTTGTGACAGCAACTGATTAACCTTCTTCTTAAATGAAACTATATATCTGGGTTTTGGAATATGTTAGAATTAATGTAATACTTTGTTCATTTCAAAATTATGCACATTAATTTTTTTGTAGTAAATATTGTGAAGAATTGCAAGTGAATTTTTCAAATGACAAGCCTAAAATAACTTTGAAAGTAGGAATGTTGCATGCTCAGTTGCTCAGTCGTGTCCAACTCTTTGCAACCCCATGGACTGTAGCCTTCCAGGCTCCTCTGTCCATGGGATTCTCCAGGCAGAATACTGCAGTGGGTTGCCATTTCCTCCTCCGAGGGATTTTCCAGACCCACGAATCGGACCCACAGATCAAACCTGCATCTCCTGCATTGGCAGGCAGATTCTTTACCACTGAACCACATAGGAAGCCTGAGAGTAGGAAAGCGGTGATTAAATTGTCATTCATATTCATTTCAGCAATCAAAAAAGAATAGGTGGTACGGTCATATTCTTTAATTACATTAGCTATATATGTAAAGAAACTTTATAAACTGTGAAACACTGTACTAAAACAAGATGCTGTTAGTAAATAGTTCTCACTATTTTGGAACCACTCAGAGTCCAATTTAAATGCTCCTTTCCTTAAGTGTGTTTACACTTAAGGAACCTATACTATACTTTTTAAAATTTCTTCAGAATTTTATTAGTCCAAATAAACAGTGTCTTAACACTGCTCATAGAATAGCATTTCATAAACTAGATTAACCTAAAGAGGTTGTATATGGTGCATGATGATGGTCTTTTGGGGAAAAATTATTCTGTTGATTCTTAAAGAGCTGGACTTTGGTGGAAATAGATTGAGATGCTCTATAATTAGAGTTCACTTTTGTAAATTATTTAACATTCAGAGTAGGTGTTATAAATTCATCATGCCTCATAATCTCTTCCACTGTTAGGTTGCTTTTCTTCTTTTGTATTTTATTACCTCTAATTATCCAATATATTCTAATTTTTTCCTCTTCCAGTATTCTATAAAATTTGGGGATCAGGGCAAGTCTTTCTTCATATATGATCTTAATGGTCTCAGTGGGTGAATTGTTTCAGGTGAGCATACTTGGGGATAACCAGGAGTTAATGGTTGTATTCTAATAATAGTTAAGAGTACACATTAACAGTTCATTGTTATTTAGACCTCTGAGATGCATGTTTTGTTTAAATAGGTGCAAATGCCATCCAGATGCTTATAAAAAGTATTTATTGGTAATAGAATGGCCAAAGTACATGTTTAGGTAATGATGTCATGGTGTTATTTAATATTTTACCCTAGAACAGTGTGCAAGAATCTTCATAGTAATCCACATGTTTTCCACCACAGTTGTCCTATTTGGCCCCTCTTTGATCTACATGCCTCTTTTTAGCTGAATGCTGGTAAACGTCCTTTCTGACAGCCCCCTTTGCTCCTGCCTGCCATTATCTGCTGAAGTTCAGAAACCAGAGCATCACTTCAAACAGCAGAGTTAGGGAGTAGCCAGTCAGAAGAGATTCCTGAGGCATGCAAAGTTCTGCCATAATCATTCAAAGATGTTTGGGGAGGGGGGTGGTGGTGGTAGAGGTGTATGTGAATATAGCGAGCTGTGGGGGTTGGCCTCTGGTCACTGGTAAATAAGTGAAGTCAGGTGCCAGAGAGTCTAGACACAGTGATTTCAGTCCTGGGTCTTTGGTATCTGATACTCAATATGGGACTTGTCTGATTGAACACTATTGCCTCTTCATTGCAAAGACTGAAGCCCTTTTAGTGCCTTCCTGTTAAATTAGTAAAAGATGACAATGGACATAGTTAAAACAGAACAAATCTAATTTTAATATTTCCTAGTTGTTAGCAATTACACTTATTTTGAAGTGTTGTAACAATCAAATTAAAGACAATGTTGCATGTGGAGTTTGAACTAAATTAATATTTTAAAATGTGAGGGCTTTAATTAAAATTTAAGTGTCTCTCACTGTGAAAAACTAATTCTATATCATGATATGTTTCTTTAACATTTAGTCTTGATTTGGGAATGTGGGTAGTTGGATAAGGTTTTAAACCATCATTATTTTTTAAAAAGCTAGCTCCTGAATATTTCACCACAAAACTTAACATGGAAATTACAAAAACAAGGCAAAACAGAACCCCTCAGCTTCTAACAAATCGCCTATAGTGCCATTTTTAAGGGCAAGTTTCACACTACAAGATTAATTTCAAGTAAATAACAACATAGCTTGCCTTGTTTAAGCGTTACCTTGATGTAACAAACAGACTTTTGTTATTTTTAAAAAGCTTCTTATATCAGGAGAAGTTTGAAAGAAATCTATATATAGTAGGTTTTTAATTAAAGTATGAAAAACATACTGTATATATTTACAGTACTGTCATCTACATTTTTATTAATTTATAATTTAATTTTAATTGATAGTTAATACATAGGTAGCAAAATCTGTTAAATGTATATCCAGTAATTTAGGATTGTTTTATCTATGCCATAGATTTTTTGTTGTTGTTGTTCTGCAACATTTTTAAGTGTTAGTGATGAAAGATTCCACTAGCGGCAATATTTGTGTTAAAGAGGTGCTCTCTGAGGAAAGGCATGATACATACTAACCATTTACCAGCTATAGTGTTTTTGTAGTTCACAGCAAATAAATGAATTTTACACACACATACATACATAGATACATATATGGGCTTCCCCAGTGGTTTAGCTGTGAAGAATCCACCTGCAGCACAAGAGACAAGGGTTTGATCCCTAGGTCGGGAAGATCCCCGGAGGAGGGCATGGCAACCCATGCTAATATTCTGGCCTGATGGATCCCATGGCCTGCGGAGCCTGGCACTCCATAGGATCACAAAGAGTGGGACAAGACTGAAGTTGACAGCACACATGCATGTACACACATGTATACATATCGTTTTGTTAGAATGATATCAAAGTATTTTTTGGAGCAGCTGTAAGTGGATTTGTGTTTTTAATTCATTGCTAGTATATAAAAGTAAGATTAATTTTTACAGACACATGATATGTTGACTATGTATCCTTTTTGAAACTTAGAAGTTATTTGGAACTAACATAGAGATTAACCACAAGATTTAACAGAATAAGGTCTAACCCATCAACAAAGACATGTTGATCTTAAAGGTATTGCCTTGAGATAAAACATAAGAAAATTGTACGTTATAGATTTTAGGATTAACATCCATATATTGTTAGCAATTTGACTAAGAGAAAAATATCTTTATATAATATGCATTGAGTAAATTTACTATTTGCCAATAACAGTAGACTAGCTTCTCAAAAGTATGGCATAAGATTTGTCATTTCTCCTTTATTATATAGCAATGACCTCTTATCATGACAAATGTAGATATAGCTAAATGGCATAAGTAGCACATCCTTTCCTTCCTCTTTTTCTGTCTGCTGCTTCCCATACCCATCTTTCTTTCTCTTATTAAGTAGAGTTCTTTCCTTATTTTATATACATTCCCAGATGATTGGGTCAGACCTTGCAAGTTCAGTTATCAGCCGTAAATGACAATTCCTAAAATCATACGTTCAGTCTGAACATGTCTTCTAAAATTGTGTTTATAACTTCTATTGACTATCTGCACTAGACTGTCACATAGGCAGCTTAAATTCAACATATCCAAAAGCCACAATTACTGTCTTCCCTTTGAGGTTTTCTCCTATTCTAGTTTCTGTCTTTGGGTAAGCATTGGCACCATTTTTCATGTTGTTCAGGATATAAACCTAGGAGTCATCTTCATTTCTTCTTCTCCCTTAATGCCAGCATCCAGTCAGTTATTAAATCCTGTTTGATTGTCTTTCCTAAATATATCTCTGAGCTGTCCTTGTTATCTCTATCCCTACTACTCTACCTAATCCAAGCAGCCATCACCATTCCTGGACTTTTCTGCTAGCCCTTTAGATGGTCTTACCACATTTTCTTAGACTATTTCAGCCTGTTTTATATACTGGTCAGATCTTCTTGAAACATAAATCTTATTCTGACACTTTCCTTATTTGGAAGCCTTTAACATCTTCCCATTTTCCTTAGGATGAAGCCCCAAATCCTTAACATGTACTTCAAGACCCTGCATTTTCTGGCTTTTACCTTCTTATCTCTTATCACTGTTTCCCTCACTCCAACCATGTTTGCTTTCTTTTAATTCTTCAGAGGAATGACATTTTTTCCTGCCTTATAACCTTTGCACAAGCTGTTTTCTTTGCTCAGAGTCTCTACTTCCCCACAATATTTTAAGTTCCTTTAAAGCAAAATCTTTAATATTTCTGTTACATTCTCCACTGTACTTGGAAGCTTATATTTAATACTGAGCATCTAATAGTTCACTAAGGTATTCAGTAGGAAAAGCCTACTCTATGTTGAAAATGTAATTGTATTATTTCCAACATACATTCTATGATAACATACTGTGATTAAGCATTGCCTATGCTTTTCATGTGTTCAGGGGTGTTTTGAATGAAATATGTCTTGTGCTTCTTGCTAGTTAATGAAGATGCTCTTCGAGTGTTCAGATGAACGAATTGACTTGGAACTCATTTCTTTCTGCATTAATCTTGCTGCTAACAAAAGGAATGTACAGCTTATCTGTGAAGGTTAGTGCCTTTGAGCTTCATGGATAATCTCTATCATATGCCAATGGCAAATGATAGATAATAGATAGTAAGGAATTAAGAGTTATAGTAAATATGTGAATTACATCTTTCTATAATTTAAAAAAGTATAGCCCAAATCCTTAAACACCAGACTCATAAATACTCTTACATCATGAGCAGACTTACTCTCTAGTAACATTTTATACACTGTTTTGTCAGTTACCCTTAATTGAAATTTGATTTTTAAAAATATTTTCTAGGTGAAACAAAACTTTTTATTTGTAAAGCAGTCTGTTGCAGTGTAAGATGGTGCAGTGCAAATGTACTTTCTGTAGTATCTTTGTAAAATGATTTGTCATGCATTTTGGTATTTCAGAGTTTGCTCAGTAGTTTTTACTTATTTGAAAAGTATACATGTAAATTATCAAAAAGTACAAACTAGCAAATAGGAAAAAATAAAAAATTTTATTTCCACTATCCAGAGATAGTCATAGATAAAACTTTGGTACAGTGCTTCTGCATATTGTAAGTTAAAATGGGATTCTGTATATTTGGTGACATGTTTTTAAAGTTAATAATATCTGAATATCTTTCCATGTGATTAAATACTTTTATAAAATGTAATTGCCAGTAGCTGAAAAAATAGCTCATTAAAGGATTTTCCATAGTTTAATCTGCTGTTTGGATAGTTTGTGCCACTTCTTTTCTATTTCAGACAATGCTGCAGTAATTTTTCTTTCTCTGAATCTTTCATGTTTCCATTTTTATATTATTAGGATAAATTCCTGGAAATACTATTTTTATGGATCAAAAAGTATTTATATTTTACAAATTTGTGGTACACACTTCATATACATACTGTGTTTCCATTTATGTGATATTCTAGAAGAGGCAAAATCTGTGTTTAAAAAGAAAATACAAAAAAGAGGAATAAGAGGAGGAGAAAAGAAGAAAAGTAATTGTATTGGGGAGATCAGCTAAGCACAAGGGAACTTTCTGCAGTAAATGGAAATATTCTGTCTTGATATAATATATGAATTATAGAGGCATACATTTATTAAAATTAATATATTCTATAAAATTTATGTATTTTCTGTGTATATATTGGGTTTTCTTGAGAGCTGAAAATTTTAAAGATCATTAAATTTAAATGAACCTTAATTTTATTGGGGAATTTCTCTGTTATTATTATTAGGAAACGGGCTGAAGATGCTCATGAAGAGAGCTCTGAAGTTCAAGGATCCATTGCTGATGAAAATGATTAGGAACATTTCCCAGCATGATGGACCAACTAAAAATTTATTTATTGTAAGTGTTGTCTTTGGCTTTCTGTCTATTAAAATAGCCTGGAACTGAAGTCTTAAAGTGCGGTGTTTGGAAATATAACTCTTCCTTAACTCCTGTCAAATATTAATTCATGATCCAAGTTGGTTCTTCTTGTTATCAACTTCCTTGGAAGTTTAGCTCCTACAGATTTCAACCTAAGTTTTAATACTGTTTTTGTTTTATGATCCCTGTCCCTAACCTTTTCAACCTCTCTCCAGTTTTCTTGTCTTAAACCAATTCCATAGACTCCCTTAGCAAGTTAGCAGTCCATGGGGTTGCAAAGAGTCGGACACAATTGAGTGATTGAAGAACAACAATTAAAACAAGAGAATCACATTTGATACTTTTTCTTCCTGTGCATTAAATTATTAGATTAGTTCTTCTGTAGAAATATTTTAAGTTTATATTAAATTTTGTTTTATTCAGGATTATGTTGGGGACCTTGCTGCTCAGATCTCTAATGATGAAGAGGAGGAGTTTGTGATTGAATGTTTAGGAACTCTTGCAAATTTGACCATTCCAGACTTAGACTGGGAATTGGTTCTTAAGGAGTATAAGCTGGTTCCATACCTCAAGGATAAACTAAAACCAGGTCTGTGCTAAGTATTTCACTTCTGCATAATCATTATTTCTCTCTTTTGTGGGTAAAGCTGCTAGAGCAGTATTTTGTGACCATTATTATACTACATTCCCAGGCCTCTAGTTCTTGCCCTACTTCTAATTTCTTTCTCCCAGAAAAGCAGTCACTAGTTTTCCTCTTATATGTATATACTTTTTTCCCTAACAATATGTTTTTTTAATATTAGTTTCCCTTTCCTATCCTGCCTTACTATTTTTTTATCCTGCCTATTTTAAATTACCAAATAACCATCCTGCTCTACATGAGTTTACATGCACACACAAAGTTCTTTGAGGCATTGAAATGATTCTTCTATTTTCTGTGTTTACATTGTCATTCATTTATATTTTCAAAGACTTATTGAAAATACAATACCACCTTTCTACTGCTCCAGAAACCACAAACTGTCATTGTGGAATGGAATTCTCTGAACATGGAACTTTGGGAAAAGGAAAAATTTGTACACATGTTAAAGGTTCATAAAACTGATTAATAGCTTTCAGTATCTTTTCTGTGAATTGGAATCTTGGAAATATAAAAGGATTTGTATCAGGACATTTCAATGAAAACTTTCTGTGATGTTCTCTTCACAGGTGCTGCAGAAGATGACCTTGTTTTAGAAGTGGTTATAATGATTGGAACTGTATCTATGGATGACTCTTGTGCTGCATTGCTAGCCAAATCTGGGATAATCCCTGCACTCATTGAGTTGCTAAATGGTAAATTATAATTTATCTTATTTTTATGCTAATATATAAGCCCATTATCTGCAGTGATAATATATTATTTATCTTGTTGCATTGGTCATCTTATAGCCACTTAAATTATATAGTTAGCAAAATGAATTAAATATACATTATACTAGAATTAGATAGCATAATACCAAGTAGCTTTAGGTTGCAAGGTTGAGAATGTTCCTATAAAGTGATTGAGGACCAATTTTATAGATAACTACCCTGCTCTTATCAACCTTGAAAAGCTAAATATTCTGCCATTTATTCTTTCTGTTGAGCTTTGTCTTGGTTGAATTATGTTGCTTTTCTTGCACAAACCCTTATAATAACTTGATTTCTAATCAGAAAGGTTTATTAGGAAGCTAATTCAAATCATCATATTCCCTCCTGGATCCATATATAGTGTTGTCCTCTAAACTTTCTGCAATGAAGAAAATATTCTCTGTCTGCACTGTCCAATACGTGTGGCTATTGAATACTTGAAATGTGGCTGTTGGGACTGAGAACCTGGATTTTAAATAAAATTTAAATAAATTTAGTTAGCCACATTGGCTAGATTACAACATAGGGTAGGAGTTCTAGATAGTCTTCCCTTACCTTTATTTTGGTCTTAAGGACCCAGATTCATCGTTTTCCACTTCATACAAAATTTGTCTGACTCTAAATATATTTTATTAGGGCCAAGTTCTCGACCTTGTTTTATTAGTCTGCTCGGACTTCCATAATAAAATATCACAGACTGGGTGGCTTAAACAACCAAAATACATTTTCTCATATTTCTGGAGGTTGGGAAGTCTATTGAGGTGCCAGCTAATTTGATTCCTGGTGAGGTCTTTCTTCTTGTCTTACACAAGGCCATCTTGTTATATCCTAACATCCTCATATGGTGGGGGCAGTTGGGCAGAGAGAGGGAGCGAGAGAAAGCATAAGCGTACACAAGTGCTCTGGTATCCCTTCTTATAAGGTTACTAATCTTGTAGGATTAGGACCCCAGCTTTATGACCTCGTTTAACCTTAATTACTTCCTTCTAGCCCTATCTCTGAATATAGTCACATTTGGGTTTGGGGCTTCAACATATGAATTTTGGAGGGGTGCACTTTGGCCCATAGCAGATTTACATTAAAAGTAGCTAATTAGTATAGAAGTTAAATATACTAATATGGAAAGCTTAAAAAGACTCTCTAATCTCAGTCTTTCCTGTACCAGATATAATATATATGTATTTTATATTATTTTAATTGTCTTTTTTTGAAGTGTACATAAAGAAAAACACAAGTTACAGGTATATGTAGAATAGTGAATTTTTAAAGTGAGGGTTCTCATGTTATTCCCACTCGTATCAGGAAATGAATTATTACCAGCACCCCAGAAATCCCTCTTCTGCCACATCCCAGTCACTGCCACCTTCTCCAGAGCAGTTCTGTTTTTCCTCTTATCACCCATAGATGAATTTTGCTTAGTTTTCAACCTTTTAGAAAGAGAATCTAGTTTATTTTTCCCTGTGTTATAACTGTGAGATTCATCTTTGTTGTGTACTGAAGTGTTTCCATTTATTGCTTTGTAAATAAATATACTACTATTTTTCCTTTCTAACTGTTGGTTCATAGTAGAGTGGGTTTTCTGTTTGTTTTTTAAGAGAAAGGGGCTTTTATAAGTAATGCTTCTGTAAACATTCTTAAATGTTTCATTTAGTGAACATATTTACTCATTTCTATTAGACACATAGTTAGGAGTAGAGAGAGTATGCATATTTTGACTAAAAATAATGCCAATCTGTTTTCCAAAGTAGTTGTGCCAATTTTCAGTCCCTCTAGCAATGTACAAAAGTTCCAGTCATTCTACATCACCAGTGTATTTCAGCATCCAGCCTCTTTAATTGTAGCCTCCATAGTGGTAGTGCATTTTGATCTTAATTTGCCCTTCCTAATAATTAATGTGGAGAAGGAAATGGCAACCCACTCCAGTATTCTTGCCTGGAGAATTCCATGGACAGAGGGGCCTGGTGGGCTACACAGTCCATGGGGTCACAAACAGTCGGACACGACTGAAGGACTAACAATAATTAATGAAATGAGTATCTATTTGTGTTTATTGACTGTTAGATACAGCAGATAAAGTGAGGTGCCTATTTATTCTTTTGCCCAGTTTTCTCTTCTAAATCTTGAAAAGTTTGATATGTAAATTCTTTTACATAATCATTTTTAATGATCATCTAGAGATAGTGCCTCCATATTTGAAGTATTTCTACAAGTAATATATATGGATTTGCTTTGGTACACTCTTCTCACAGCCAGGAGTTTTCATGTTAGAAGTAATTGAAAGGCTAGATAATTGGGAGGTGAAACTAAAGACAATGTAGTTGTCATAATGAGAATGAGGATTTTGTAGTGAGCTGGAGAAAGTTGAAACAAAATGACCTGGGTCCTTAAATTGCTGTCACATTGATTATGACTGAGAGATAAGATAACAGCCAGCTCAGTGTTTTACCATATGTTGATGTTCTCTGACATGTTATCATAGGCAGAGGCTGTATACTAATATTTTTTGGAAATAAATGGATTCTGAAAATTAAAACCCTTAGGGTTAAGTGAGGGAACATTGTATGCCAACAGAGTAATTAACAAAATTTTAACCCAAATAGTCTGAGTGGTACTTTGGTAAATTAGTGAGGAAAATTATTTGGAATGGCTGGACTTTGAAGGAATCACAGTTTATTTCACCCAACTAGTCAGATGCTCTGTGGACCTGTAAATATTTGTCTAACAGATATCACTGAACTGTTGCCAAGAGTTGAGGTCAAACTACTAGTAAATCAAATTTCATAGCCAGTACCTATAAATTGTATTTCTATGAGTATTTGCCTTTGCCATTACATAATATTAATTCTTTTAAAGTCATCTTCTTATGATAATAACCATTTCTTAGTTTGTATAAGTGCATAACATTCTTTTCACTAGTATAATTAATTAGAGTGGAGCTAAAGTTACTCTTTTGCTTCATGCCAATAATTGAAGTTTAATTTTGTTAACATTATTCAATGAAGAAAAAAACCTGTTTATAATAATCTAATTTCTACCAGAAACTTAGAATTTAGAGGGTGTGATTTTTTTTTAAGAACCAATTTTGTCCTGTGAGGTCAACATTGTAGAGACAAAATAGAACAAGATTTATTTTACAAATTAAAATTATCTGAAGAATTTTTATAAGGGACCAAAACAACCTCCCCACAAGTGGTGGTAAGTTTTGCCATTTCACATTAGAGACTTAGAGGTTAATTTAATGAATTTCTTTATACTTGGTGTCAGTGTAGTAAAAATTACTGTTAAAGCACTGTTACTATTCTCTTAAACCTATCTTGTTTCTCATTTCTTCCTAGATAACAGCCTTTTGAGATGAACAGTCTCAAATAGTTTGGTTTGGACTCAGAGATGATATAATTTCTCTCTTCAAAATCGTATTTTTTATTTTTGTTTTACAAAGTCATAAATTATTTAGTTTAACAGCACCCAAACTTAGTAAAACTTATGAAAATATATCATTATGAAATTTTTGACTGATCATCATGTAATTTAGAAAAAAACATTTAAGACATAAATGATGTATGGCAGCCATATATATTAAATAATTTAAACTAACTGTCCTTTACCTGTCTCCTTGTCACCTTTGGTTTTTCTCATTCCCCACTTTTTCCCCCTCAATGTTTTTCAGTTTTGTATATAACTTAGTATTTTTATTTGAAGTTTTCTGTTACCTTTTAGCTCAACAAGAAGATGATGAATTTGTGTGTCAGATAATTTATGTCTTCTACCAAATGGTTTTCCATCAAGCCACAAGAGATGTCATAATCAAGGAAACACGTATCCTTTCAGTGTTCATCATAAGTAATGACACTTCACATATTCAGAAGAGATACATTATTTGGTATTGGAAATGATAACTTTCTTTACTGCCTCTTTTAGATTCATTGAGGTTTCTATCTTGAATTAAGTTTTCTTTATTTATCCTTCCTTTTTCCCATACTGTTGTTTATACATTCCTTTTCTTTTTATAACATTTTAAAATTAACTATTATTTTGATTATTGCTTTGTAAAAGCCAGTGTTTATTTAGGATTTATGGTATGTTAAACCCACTCCAGTATTCTTGCCTGGAGAATCCCAGGGACAGAGAAGCCTGGCAGGCTGCAGTTCATAGGGTCGCAAAGAGTGGAACAAGACTGAAGCCACTTAGCACACATGCATGGTACGTTAATGCATGTATTTCATCATTTACTGTTTTTTCCTGAATTCAGTTCCTCTGTTTCTCTACATTGATTTGCTTCTTAATTGATTACATTCTCTTATACTGCTTAGTGAACATCTATAGTAATAAAATGCACCTGTATCTGAAAATAACTAGTTTGTCCTCTTTAAATATAATTTGGCAGAATATGAAATTTCTAGATTGCCCATTATTTTCCTCATCAATTTGAAGGTATTTTTCCACCTTTAATTGCTGCCAATGAGAAGTCTGTAGTCTACTAATTATCTCTCATAAAGTCTAATGACAATTTACTTTCCTTTCCTTTGTAAGTGACTTGATCTTTCTGCCAGGAAGACCAAAGGATGTTTCTGGGTTTTGTTTAAGCCACTATAGCCACTATAGTTTTATTAGAATTTGAGTTGGTATTCATCACCCTTGCTTGATTTTTCTAAGTATGCAAATACAGTGTTTGTACTTTGTCTTTTTTCTAATCTTAGGAAAGTTTTCTTGAGTTACAGTTTATAATATTTGTTTTGTTCTATTGCCATGATTGTCTTTAGAATTTCTGTTGTTGGATCCTCTTTGCCTACCTTTAATATCTGTCATTTTCTAATCTTTTTAATCTCTTTTCATCTTTTTAAATTTTACAAATTTTCTTCTATTTTACCTTATATTAAATTCAGAGTTTATCTGTTGCCTTTATTTATTCTTGTATTACTATAAACTTTGTTTTAATATATCTGAAATGATTTTTAGTTATTTCTTGAATTACCTCTCTGAGTTTTCTAATACTGATTCCTATTATTCTTTCATATATATATATATACACACACACATATGTGTGTATATATCTATATATAATATTTTCTTAAATTCTTTTCTTTTTGAAATACTAGAATAATATGAAGTTATCTTATGTTCTCTCTTCCTTATAATAACCACATCCATATATATGATTTTTTTTGTTGACTTGATTAACAGTGATTCTTTTCCTTTATTGTGTGAAATACTTTGTATGTGAGTTTCTGTTGAAATTAATTTTTCTGAACTTTTAGGAGGGTCAAATCAATCAAGAAAGTTTTACAGCCGTGCAGCTCTAGAGCTTCTTCTCTAGTTACTTTCACAATTTTCATGTTTTCAAAAGTATGACCTTATACATTCCAAGATTTACTGGCTCTTTTTCTTGCCCAGTTTTATCTCATATTTTTCCTTTATCATCCCTGTTTTTCAAATAAATGAAACATTAGATTTTTTGGTCACCTTGTATTAATGATTGTATTTTAAAATTTAAAATTAGATTTCAGATTAATGTTTGAATTTGGAGAAATGCAGGATTCTCTAACATGATTGAACAACCTCAATATCAGTTTGTATCTTTAACCACTTTTTATATAGAGGCTCCAGCATATCTCATAGATCTGATGCATGATAAAAATAATGAAATCCGAAAAGTCTGTGATAATACATTAGATATTATAGCGGTAAGTAATTTTTCTTCCTGCTAAAAGTATAATAGTCTTTACTTTATGGAATAAAAGAGCCATTGTACACCTGTTTAGAACTTTGCATTCAGTATACAGTTAGCACAAATTTGTATTTTGGTACAGCTCAGAAAATGAAGTGATACAGAATTCACTTTTTAATTGACGTATGGCTGATTTACAGTGTTGCATTAATTTCTGCTGTGCAGCAAAGTGATACATATACATACATTCTTTTTTATATTATTTTCCATTATGGTTTATCATAGGATATTGAATATAGTTCCCTGTGCTAAACAGTAGGACCTTGCTGTTTATCCATTCTATGTATACTAGTTTGCATCTGCTAACCCCAAACTCCCACTTTATCCCTCTCCCATCCCTCTACCCTTTGACAACCACAAGTCTGTTCTCTATGTCTGTGAGTCTATTACCGTTTTGTAGATAAGTTGATTTGTGTCATGGTTTAGATTCCACAAATAAGTTATGTCATATGATATTTGTCTTTCTGTTTTTGACTGACTTTACTTAGTATGATTATCTCTGTCCATTCATGTTGCTGCAAATAGCATTATTATTACATTTTATTTTTTATGGTTGAGTAGTATTCCATTACGGGCTTCCCAGGTGGTGCTGGTGGTAAAGAACCCACCTGCCAATGCAGAAGAAATAAGAGATGCGGGTTCAATCCCTGGGTCAGGAAGATCCCCCGGAGGAGGGCATGGCAACCCACTCCAGTATTCTTGCCTGAAGAATCCCCATGGACAGAGGAGCCTGGCAGGCCACAGTCCATAGGGTCACAAAGAATCAGACACGACTGAGCAACCCAGCAGCAGCAGCAGTAGTATTCTAGTGTTTATTTGTACCACATCTTTATCCATTCATCTGTCAATGGATGGATAGGTTATTTTCATGTCTTGGCTATTGTGAATAGTGCTGTTATGAATATGGGGTGCATGTATCTTTTGAATAATAGTTTTGTCCAGATATATGCCCAGGTGTGGGGTAGCTGGATTATATGGCAGCTCAATTTTTACTTTTTTGAGAAACCTTCATACTGTTCTCCATAGTGACTATACCAATTTACATTCCCACCAACAGTGTAGGAGAATTCCCTTTTCTCCACACCCTCTCCAGCATTTGTTATTTGTAGATTTTTTTAATGATAGCATTCTGACTGGGGTAAGGTGGTGCTTCATTGTAGTTTTGATTTGCATTTCTCTGATAATTAGTGATGTTGAGGATCTTTTCATTTGCCCATTGGCTATCTGTTTGTCTTAGAGAAATGTCTGTTTAGGTCTTCTGCACATTAAATTCATTGTTTAAGCATTATTAAAACCTTTGGCTTTCTACTTTTGAGTAGAGGTTGTATACTTAAAGAGATTTTCTACATATTCAAAGTTTTATATCTGGTCTGCATGTCATCTCAGAATCACTTGTTTTTCAGAAAAATTATTGCAGAGAAGCAATATTGCAGAGAAGGGGGTTGATGACAGTCTTATCAAAACTCAACACCATCAACTTTACAGTTTGGTCATTATTTTTTTAATAAAATAGAATCTCATTACTATTTTTTAAATCTTTGATAAATTTTGTTGTATACGTTGACTTGTTTTACAAGTTGTTTTGGAGTGATGTTAGTTCACTTCAGTTGCTCAGTCATGTCTGACTCTATGACCCCATGGACTGCAGCATGCCAGGCTTCCCTGTCAATCAGCAACTCTCAGAACTTGCTCAAACTCATGCCCATCCAGTTGGCGATGCCATTCAACCGTCTCATCCTCTGCTCTTACTTTCAACTCCTGCCTTCAGTGTTTCCCAGCATCAGGGTCTTTTCCAATGAGTCAGTTCTTCGCATCAGGTGCCCAAAGTATTGGAGCTTCAGCATCAGTCCTTCCAATGAATATTCAGGACCTATTTCCTTTAGGATGGACTGGTTTGACCTCTTTGCTGTCCAAGGGACTCTCAAGAGTCTTCTCCAACACCACAGTTCAAAAGCATCAATTCTTTGGTGCTCAGCTTTCTTTATGGTCCCAACTCTCATATCCATACATGACTACTGGAAAAACCACAGTTTTGACTATACAGACCTTTGTCGGTAATGCCTCTGCTTTTTAGTATGCTGTCTAGGTTTGTCATAGCTTTTTTCCCCAAGGAGCAAGAGTCTTTTAATTTTGTGGCTGCAGTCACCACCTGCAGTGATTTTGGAACCCAGGAAAATAGTCTGTCCCTGTTTGCATTGTTTCCCCATCTGTTTGCTATGAAGTGATGGGACTGAATGCCATGATGTTAGTTTTTTGAAAGTTGAGTTTTAAACCAGCTTTTTTACTCTCCTCTTTCACTTTCATTAACAGGCTCTTTAGTTCCTCTTCACTTTCTGCCATAAGGGTGGTGTCATCTGCATATCTGAGGTTATTGATATTTTTCCCTGCAGTCTTGATTCCAGCTTGTGCTTTATCCAGTCTGGCATTTCGCATGTTGTGCTCTGCATATAAGTTCAATAAGCAAGTTGACAATACACAGCTATACTCCTTTCCCAATTTAGAACCAGTTCATTGTGCCATGTCTGATTCTAACTGTTAGAACTGTTTGCAATAATGAAACACCCCCAAATATGTTTCTCATGACTTTATAAGTTTTAAAAGTATATGTCACTGTTAAGAATTTGATTAGAGGGATAATCTGAGTCCTGCATTAGAAACTTGCTCACTTTGCAGACTTTTCTTCAGACGTTGTGCTGCCCTTCCACTTGGACTTGATCCTTGTACCTGAGATGTGCTAGATGCTACATTTCTTTGAATATTTTTTTCACTTGTGGCATACACACGTGGGCAGTCTCATTCCTTCTTTGGACTCTATTTACACTATTTTTTGATTCACCCTGTAAAAAGTTTCTTGAATATAACCTATTCAGTCGTTTTCAACTTAAGTGTTTTAAAAGGATCAGCTGAGCCACCAGAGAAGTCCAAGAATACTGGAGTGGGTAGCCTATCCCTTCTCCAGCAGATCTTCCCAACCCAGGAATCAAACCGGGGTCTTCTGCATCGCAGGCGGATTCTATCAGCTGAGCTAACAGGGAAGCCCCTTAAAAGGATCAGAATAGAAGTTTATAAAGAATCAATTAATAACGTCCTTGAAATCCTCTAGGTTGGCATTTCTGCTAGTGATTTCATTACAAAATCAGATAATCAGCAGGTACTTTCTGGTCAGTCAGAACATTTTAGTTCAGAAATTCTTGTTTATTTGGTATCACCTGATTTTTTAATTTGACCAATATATCTTTACTGGTTTAAAACTAAATCAGCACATGGACATTTTAGCTTTGATATAGAAATTAAAATAGGGAAGCTTTATTTATTAAACCCTTGTTTAGCCAAGATGTTTCAACACATAAGCCACTGGTCACAGGGTTTATGAACAGTTTCATGGTTCTTGTACTATTTTCTAGATCACTAATGTCATTGTTGTATATAAAGTATATAGTGTAACAGGAAGAAACTCCCTAAAATTCTATATCTGATTTTCTTACGTTAAGCAAGAAGAAGAGAGATATCAGTCTGTTATGAATCACCTTTATCATACTTTTAAAATTACCTTATTTTGAGAAGAAGTGATAGAAAGTAAAAATATGTTTAAATGTTTGTATTAGGTAGGTTTGGCTAAGAATGTAAGCTAGTGATAGTTCCAAAAGACCAGCTTAGTCTTTTAAAAATATTTATTGTAAATTATGAATGTTTCTTATTAGATAAAATTCTCATTCCCAGTATTTCTAAGCTCTGGGCTCAAGTCTCTGATCTTAAGTCGGAGTTTTCCCCACCCTGCATCTTCTGTCTTGGCTCTCTCTCTCTCTCTCTAGAATCCACATTTCGAAAAAATCTCTACATATTACTTCCTCCATTTTTTCGTTTCCCTATCTTTTCTACCTTCCCCTTTCTCTTTTTAACCAGTTTTTCCTCTGTATCCATTACGCCATTGAAATGGTGCTTATAGAAGTCATCTGGGCCTTCATGTTTTGAAATCCAGTGAACATTTTTAGTCTTCATTTTACTTTGTTGATCCTATGTTCCTTGCAAGGACTTATAAATTTTGGTCAGAGTTAAAATGTAAACTCACAAAGAAAATTATTTTAGATTATTACATTCATAAAAAATCTTGTGAATAAGAGGACATCCAAGAAGAATCAGTGAAATGAAACTGGTGATATATCAGCTACCTATATATATAGTTCCCTAAAATGCTATCTGATCATGTGAGTTAGTATAAAACAAATTCCAACAAGTAATCTGAAGGTTTACCTAATCTCTCTACATCAGACTTATGAAGTATGTATTTGATATGCTGCCAAGCAATTTTAGATTGTTTCATTTCATACTTTGGAAAACTTAAGAGTCTAAAATGTTATTCAGAAATACCAGTTGTTAAACTGAGACCATTTAAAGATATTCACATTTTAATTATTAGTGTGATCTGGAAGTCCTATCCTGTGCTACTCCATCAACTGAGTCATAATTATAGCCGAGTTTCTTAGAAGAGAAGAAGTCCAATACAGCGAATAGATGGACACCAGACTCTGGAAACATCCCATATTCTGTTCGAAGAATGTTTCTTTACCTTTTTGTACTATACACCTACAGGATCCAAGGCCCTGGCTCAATTTTAGCTTGTCAGTAGGGAGCTGCACCAGCAGGAGCAACTTCTTCTTGAAACATTTTTCTCCTCAGTTGAGTAGGGGTTCTGGTCTTAGAGTCAACCTTTGACCTGTCTGAGGTGGCAGCTTGACCCTGTAGAGTATTGCATTTAGAATACAACTGACTCTAGTTCTCTCACCTGCTGAATAATCTCAGGCAATTTATTTAACTTTTTGAAGATCTAGTTTACATCGATACTTCTGAGGATTAAAGAAATTAGAGAAAATATACATGAAGCATCTACCACATGATGGTCACTTGATATGTTTTGTTCAGACTAAACCAAAATTCAATTCTACTTGTGAAGTTTAC